GAGGAGCTCCGGATTGGTATCTGGAGTGAGGTCGACGGTGGCGAGGCGCCGTATTTCTCGGGTGGGCTTGGCTGGCGATACGACGGTCTCATGTCCACCGTCGAGCAGCCGTGGGCGATCTCGACGTCGTAGGCACCGCTCCTCCCTCCTTCATCGACCCCTACGTCCCGGTTTACGTCGCATCCCGCTTGGTTCTTTGCGGCCATTTCGCCGTCTGCTTGTTTATTATCTGCCCCAGTCGTCCGTTCCGCTTCCTTCTCTCGCATCTCCCCTCCCCCGCTGCCCCTGCTTCATTGCCCCTCTATCCCCATCCACTTCCCTCTCCTCCTCTTTCCCCATCTCACGATTCCTCACCCGTTCGCGCTCTCCCGCGTTGTTATACATTATACTTTCTATGTCTCGTGTCCCCGTCTGTCCGCTCTGTACTTGTTTAGTAGCCCCTATCTCTGCCTTGTGGTACCCCTGTTACATATCCGCCGCGCCGCCCCCGCGCGTCGAATCCCCTTTTCCTCTGCGGTCGATTTCTGTTTGCTGTGTGTCCACCTGCGTCTCGTCCTCTTTCCCGTCTTTTTTTTACAGATCTCTCTGTGTCTCTTCTGGCTTGGCTTGGCTTGGCTTAGCGCTATTGCATCAGGCTTGGATATCGACAGTGTGTGCGTGCGTGAGGTGTGCGTGGCGATTCGCGTGCACCGGCGGGCGTACTGCCGGGCTGCAACTTGCAGAAGCCGAAGGTACCTAACTAGTCTTTCGTGTGACGCAGTGTATTCGATAGCCTAGAGCTCATGGACTGGGGCGCGTAATAGATGCCATTAATTCTGGATCCGTCACCGGGCGTGTGAATCCCAGTCTTGTGACCTCGACAGCACCTTTTGTTCATGCCTATTTAACCATGCCGCCATTGGATATAAAAGGTTTCTTTCTCTTCCCTCGCTCGTCCTAGGACACGGTTGGACTGCTACGTGGCTTACTTCTGCAGACGTTCCACAAAGAGCAGGGAAGGAGTTCCCTCCCCGCGTCTGCAGACGAACGGCCTCTCAACCATAACGGCTCTCTTTCTAGCCCGAGACCTTCTAAGATCCGATATGGCTACTGTCTCCGTCGGCTGCCTGTGACTGCTCGCGACCACATAGTTGACTTGCTCGATGGTCTATAAAGGCGTATAGTCCGCTGCAAGGTTTGCTTAGGCGACTTCCTTTCTTCGACGCGGCTACGCCCAGCCAGCGGTGCAAGACATCATACACTCGGACGTATTCCTTTCCCTCCCCCCTCCTCTTCACTCAAAGCGCCTCCCGTACCTTTGTGCATTTCAGCCTCGTCGCTTACCTGGCTAATTCATCAGTTATCATGGGCCTCGGACTTCTATCCAGCTACGCCGAGTACTTGTCAAACCCCATCTCATCCGACGACGGCTGGTACGACTTAGACTGCGGGATACCCGACCTAGGCGCTCAGGCCCTGGCCCTCGAGCAGTGGCTCCACTTCTGTGACAGGTTACCTGTCGAGGGCCCAGTCTGTGATGCGTGAGCATCGTCGCCTGGCTCCGAGGTCAGCGTATTCAGTCTAACGATTATCAAGCGCCCTCCGAATGGAACTCGATGGACGTCACCAGCGACGCACAGGTGTCCGACGACGCGTCGCCTACCGGTTGGCGGATGCTCTTCCGCTCGTGGGTGCGTCCCAGGAAACATTTCAGCAACTTTTCTCCTCCTGGTCATACGTACAGGGGGTCGACGACCCGCCTTGGGACGTTGATTTAGACATTGCCCACACCGTTTCGCTCTTCGAACTCCATCAGGCCGTATATCCCCTAGGTGGGTTCGGTGGGGTAAGAAGCTTTGTACCTAGTTGGCGCGCCTCTAATTTCGTGAGCTAGGTCCCCGGTGCGCAAGGATGGCAGATGGTCTGGAGCGCACTCTGGGTCAAGTCCGACGGGCGGCACTTCGAGCTGAGCCCCTCGAAGCCGCACCCGTACCCACCCTTCGCGACGCTCCAGGCCGCCGAACGAATCGCTCGCGTCTACGAGCTTCGTCTGCAAATGTTCGACCACCTTTTCACCCAGCACATGCGCATGGTAGCCTTGGATGCATACCACAGCTTCTCGGACCGTGAGCAGGATACGGAGCTGACCGATATGCACCCAGATTTCGTCCGGGTCCTCGCCGTCTGCGCAGAGGAACGACCATGGGAGATGCACCTCCAAGGCTGGCATCCGTTCTTGGGGGCGCTAGTGAGGCGCCATGAAGAAGCACTCCTTGAAATGCGAGCCCGCTTAGCCTCTGAACTCTGGGTCACGGGTTCCCTGAGGTGCGTGTTCTGTGACACGGATCCTTATGTTGATCTTTTTCCCGGAGGACGCGCCAACACGAAAGAAGCACCGGCGAATGCCCGGCTTGAATGGTGTGAAGTTGCAGGGACGAGCTTACTTGGTTTGCGCAAGATCCTGACGGGTCCCAAAATGTCGAAGGACCGGGAAGCCGCGTACCGCCGTCGCGTGAATCAACTTGAATGCGAGTTTCGCATCCGCTTAGAAGAGTTGCGGGCCGCTTATATCGACTGTTAGTCCACACACGCCATCAGGGAGCATGTGCTCACGCTTTCTGAGCTCATTCAGGCGAGCCGCAAAAACTGTCGCCCAGATTACACACGGACCTCGAGTCCGACCCCGTCCAATATCACGAGCTCCTGGGCCAAGTTATGGAGCTCGGGGACACGATCTTCAAGATGCTCCCCAAATTTCGCTGTGCGAGAGAAGTGAAGACAGGAAAGATAAACGATTTCTGCCAAATAGTGAGCCCCGACTTGATAGGTTCGTGACAGGCTACTGACGGGGCTTAAACAGCTCGCAGCGCTCGAATATCAGCGAAGCCTACTAAATGACTCCAACAAGGACCCAGTACTCACGATGAGTACCCTCGGGAAGCTCAAGAGGGAATGGGCATCGATGAGATCATCTCCCTGATAGAACCCGAAAAACGCTCGAAAGACGTGGGACCGGGAAGATATCAGAGACAGGCAACATCTTGATTGCAGTTGTTTCCTGGGAACCTATACGTCCTCTATCAGAGCAACGAGTGCTTATACACGATTGCTCTCCTTTGCGTCCTCGTCCGAATATCGGAGGGATCAATCGGCCAGTCGGGGCCTTCATGCTTGGTCTCACGGCGATCATCTATTCCGCTGAATTAGGTGTTCGAATGGGGGTCTGAGATGCAGTAGGACATAAAGGCGGAGACTACTGTATTCAGTATGGTGTGCACGGATCTGACACTAAACCGGTCCTATCCCGAGTCGTCGCCTGGGAGGGAGTGTCATGTCCTCAGGACATGATGAGCAAACAATATCAACATGACTATTCCCTTCCTGCGATACTTCAGTCGCAGGCAGAGATCCTACTGCGATAACCTCTGCTACATGTGATGCTTGCCACATCGAATTCTGGTTCTAAATACCAAGGGACTATAGATAAACTGATTGAGTACTGTGCGTGCAGCATAGGCCCGGGATGCTCACTGTCGACATGCCGTGGCGGTGTTCGTCGATCCGACGCAGTCGACTACGATCGCTACATCCTTCAGCCCTTTCGCATAGACAGACCCGTTACTCTTTGGAAGTTCTTCATGTCTGGAGGCTTCTCTTTCGGAGCCAGGGTGAACGGATCTGGCCGGCGCGCGGCTGAGTTAGACAGCACACGTGCCTTCAAGGAGACGAGCGCAGAGCCCGAGCTTGAGCCTCCGGACGGTGATGACACACGCGCCTCGACCTTCCGCCGCTTGACGCCCTCTTTCCGGCCTTCTACCCACGCATTATGCGCATTCGCGACACTCTGCGCGTCGTCGCGCACGAGCGTCATCTCGGCCGGCAGCCCGTACCGCACCTTGAGCGCGTCGTCGGCCGCCTGTAATGCCTTCTCTTCCTTCTTATCTGCACGGAAACGCTTGCGAACGCGCGAGGAGTGCGTGTACGGATCCGAGTTCAGCCGGTCGGATGCGGCTTGGAGCTGTTCGAGGCGCGGCGCTTGTACCTTCTCGGCGTGGGTTTTCGCATCGGTCGATTTCTCGAGGGCTGCGAGCGGATCTTCGCCCTCTGGCGGTTTGGCGTCAGAGTCTGTGTGCAAATCAGAGGTGAATCCGGGAGGGCGGGCAGTAACGCACCAAGGATAGCGTAACCGCCATTTTCCTCCGGATCCCAGTCTTCGTCTTTCTTCCTTGCGCCCTCTGTCACGATGTAACGTGTATTCTACAGGGAATTCAGAGAGAAGATTGGCATATTTGAGTACCACGACGCACCTGTGGATCCGTCTGAATCTCAAACCAGCCACTGCACAAGTGGCACTTGCATCGAAAGGCGAAAATCGGAGTAGAGTAATACATTCCAATCTTGCGCTTCTCGGCGTTGTATCGTACGCCCATTCCGATATGTGCGTTGCATGATCCGCTGGACATATATCAGAGAAGGCCAGAGATAGCAGGAGGGAAGGGCGCGCACCACCAGATATTAAAAGGCAGCTCGAAACGGGTGATTAGGATGCCCTGGTCTAGCTTGCGTGCGCGATCGCCGAGAGCGTGTTTACCTACGCACGAATGAGACAGCACGAGCAAATGAACCAGCCATGGACATGCCTCGGTATGCGTTCAGGCTTTTGTGCTTCTCGCCATCGTAGTCCGGAGGGTAGTACTTGTTGAAGCCTAGCAAAAACATAGGCGCAGCACTTAGAGAGAAAAGTTCTTTCAGCACACCTTGCATACGAACTTCAGTTTATCAAGGAGGATCCGGGACCTGTACGCCGCGTCGAGCAAAGGTCGGTTTGGAGTAGATGATCGTTGGGTTCAAGGGCAAAGTTAACCACGAGCGATGAACCCGGGTCAATGGATTTCACAGTCGGATCTAGATACACTCTTCACTGGGTAACCTCCTCTCATCACTTTGATCGTGGCCCCAACAGGCCCGCCCTCCATAAGAGAAATGGCGGCACGAAAAAAATAGCAGCATCCGATTCACTATGACAAGAGGGGGATTCGAACCCCCGCGAGGATACCCTCATGAGAAACCTTCGGATGAAGGCAAGCTTAAACGCTTGAGTCACACGCCTTAGACCACTCGGCCATCTTGCCATATACAACACGGTAGGCATCATAACCATCATAAACCGAAACAATGCACATGCTCCCACCATTCTTAGCGTGAAGGAGGTGAGCAAGCTACCTTTCCATTGAAAGAGGCGAAGAAGCGGGATAAAGGAGGTGTTTCTACGATTCTAATTATGGCGTCCATGCCCAACGGTATCGTACAGTACGTCAAACGAGCAGCGACGGTGGAGCAAGACAACTAGCGGTGGCTATGGGGTAATGAACGGCGGCAACGGAACATAAGAGTACACTGCTGTCAAGGAATTGCGCATGCGAGGTCAGGGTAGCGATAAGTGGACGGAACGCAACAAGATCTGTTTATATCATACTCTCAATCTTCTCGAGGCCGTACACGACCCCCTCGATTAGGAATAGTATGCGTCGCGGTAGGGCAACGGCACGCTCAGCCCGACTACAGGTTCCGTCGCTATCGCTCAAAACGGGATCTCCCCAGTCGAGGTCGCGGTCCCATCTCCGCCTCGTTCGCGATCGTGCTCGGGCCCGCTTCTCTGTCCACAGGACATCCTCAAGTGCCAACGGCAGTGCGAGTGTTATGCGCGCCAGACGGATGGACAGGCGGGCACGTGGTCGAATCGAGAAGAGCGGCAGCTGGGCGAGCGAGTGCTGGGTTTCGGCGAGGTGTGAAATAGTCGCGACAACAGCGTGCGAAAGCGCCCGGCATGCTGCAGATTGCTTTAGTCTAGGGTCTCAGCGGAAACGAGGTCAGAGCTAGCATACTTAAGAGGCGTTCCCGGATGACTCGAAGGGTCAGCAGAATGGAATCGATGCCCTCGTCATTCAAGCTCAGAGAGGGATTAAGGTTTGCCATTGCGCCTGTTAGGATGAAATATCGAATGAGTATGCCAAAACAGGGATGAGGCAGCGACTCACGCAGCAGGGTCTGGACGACCTCCATATCACCATCGAGGAAATCATTAAACATACCGAGCACTGCACCTTGGAGGGTATCTTCCGCGCGCATGTTCATAGTACTAGCAAAGTCTGTCGACATAGCAGGATTTTGGTCGTACTGCTTCTTGTGTGTGGGATTTGACAATATATTGTATGCGACTGCGACTTTCTGAAATGCCAGAGTGGCCTTGGGATCTCCAAAAAATTTACTGAGCGAGGAAGTTAAGAAAGCACACAATCGTAGCAGCAAAGTAAGGACGAGGGATGTTACGAGACCACACTAGCTACCGACAATAGAGCGACAAACGGCAACGTACTCGGGGTGGCATGCCCTTGTCCTTGCAAGATACGCTCTCCTTAGTGAGTTTTCATCGAGTTGTCGGTGCTGCGGCACACCGAGGATCTCGTAAAGGTTATCGACGGCAAGGATCTCCTCTATCGCGGGTGAGGGGGGCTCATGCCGTCCTTTCTCTTCGGGATAACCAGGAGCATCATCGTCTACAATATCTCCCCACGAGATAAGTTTGGAGTGAGCAGGGATCCCGTGCTCGTCGTGGTTCGGCTCCTCGTCGATGGGAAGGTAGAAGTATTGAGTTGCTACGACAATACCTTGCTCATTGTGCATTCCAGCGCTGGGCAGACACAGCCTACCTGAAGATATAACGTATCCAAGCATGCCAGTCGACACAGGTGAGCAGAGGCGTGTCAGCGTCGTCGAGATAGCATGTGCGCGTGGTGCAACGAAAATAAGGGCAACTGCGAACTGGGGATCATAGTTTGCAAATAAGAGCTTCGTGTGAGAATGCGCTGCCATGTGATTTCGTCGACGCCTACACGATCACGTGGATCACAACAGATCCAGAGCAGCCCAGAAGCAAGGCACGACTCGCGTTTGAGAGCGCCATGAGTCAAGTATGAGCGAATGCATTCGGGCTCCCTTCTTCTTATCGGAGGTCTGTCTTATTTCTCGTGCTGGGACCTCAAGATAGTTTCTGTCGCCAGCGTATCATCGGCGCGCGGTCCCTGCGACACTGAGATTGGTATACACCTGGACCGTTTTTACGCGCATTTAGCATAAAACTAATGACCGAGACTTTATCCAAGAATGCAGCTCACTGCACGTATTACGGAAATAGGGAATCTCAGTCTTATAGCTACTGTAATATTTACCTGGGATTCCGGTACTATTCTACAGTTGAAGTACGGCCCTGTCTATCGATGCCCGATCAGCGGACAAGAAGCCAGAGCCAAGAATAGCAGAGTGTTTAATGCAAACTGTTTGCCCTACAAGCACCTTCGGGGTCAATAGAGAGGGTTTGGAGTCGTTGGAACGTAATACAAACCAGTCAACAAGCTCGCGCTACCCAATGCTGGGGGCCAAGCTCGTTACCAAGGCAGATACCGAAGCTTAGAGCTGATACTCCAACGGCCCCGTACAAGATGGTTTTAGGGAGGGGAATCTGCTGTACACATTGAAGACGCACCAACCATCCGGCAACAACCGTCCGTTGCAGCGGCATACTTGATAATTTGTGCGTAGCTTATGGTACAGGGAGCCAACGCCTCCGCTCATTCAGACTAGTACATGAGAAGGCTTTGATTGCAAGGCAAGACACGGACGTGGTGTGCCAACCTAGCGCAGGATTCTCTGATACTCCTTAGTGCTCTGAAGCCTTGAGTAAGCAACCATAAGATGAGTCGAAGGCCAAAGCCGAAATGGTCAAAGTGACATCGTGGCAAGACAAAAAAGACTAAGAGCCGGAGCACCGGAGCACCCGAAGTGACTTGACCATGCGTCTTGTCTCCAACCCTCTTGGCCACAATAGACCCGCTTCCTGTTAGGAACAGCGGGACCTCAGGAACGAGGAACCCTCAGTCTCGAGTGACGATGACTGAGGGGTCAGGAGCGAGGGATGACGCGCAGGTAGTACGGTCGTCTGGTCACGTGCTAAATATCGTACGGTTCGAATATATTATACGGTGAGCTATTGTATCTCTACTCTTACTTCAACACTTCCTCTGCCCTGGACCGATGCGCAACAACCCAGATTACGGCAATAATATTGGGTCTATGTACATGACGGTGAATTCCTTGTAGCCATTCATGATCTTCCGGAGACAGTACTTTCGATGATCTCAAGCTCAGGCTCTACTCGAAGTTTCGTTTAAGAGGGCGTATGCTTGCGTCGGACAGGATGTCCTTTCCCCCTCCTATTATAACCGATGCAGCGATTGAAACTAGACAGAGCGACAGATTTAACCCGTTAGCAACGGAGATCTCCAGCCGGATGACGGGTTGCTCGGGAAGTGAGTTGCGGTCGAGTGATAGACGTCGGTGGCTCTGAGTCTCGTACTCTCACAGACCTTCATTCGCCGACGGACTAAAGTGCTGTCACTGGGCCTCATTTGACCGGCGACGCGTCACAACAATCCCCTCTGCGCTTTTCAAAGATCATCTGACGTTATCTCTGGGTCCGTCTTCTCGACGGTACTGACATGCTAACTCACATAAGAACATTGTATACGGGATATCGCCTAGTCACCTGGACATCATACGGTATAATTCGCTCTCTAAGTCCAATGTTTCAGCGCGCTCTTTGCCCTTCTTACTGCCTTCTTGGCGTCTTCAACGAAATACGTCCCTAGAGTGGTCTCCCATGCGAGCAGCGCTCCCTCCACCTCCCTCACCATCGTATTAAGATCCCTTTCGGTACGATATATCTTGCCAACCAAGGTCATGACCTCAGGGTCACCAATGAACCCCAGCGACTCTTCTTTACTTCTTCCTGAGAGCTTCGCGAGCTGCCTTCGCCTGCAACGGAGATCTTTTGCTTCTTCGCGGAGCCTCTTCGATAGAGCCAACATCTCGTTCACCTTCGCCTCAGTTTTTTCTCCGGTGCCAGAGAAAACGTGGGGTGAATAGGACATCAGTCTCTTGTATCCTGTTGCTAGGTTATATCTACAACGGGAAGAATTAGTTCTTGACCGGCGAAGGTAGGAGTCGACAGGGTAAGCACACCTGTTACCCTGTCCAGTGTCCCGGTGGTGTGGCATTTCTACAGCTCGCATGGGGGTATGCCTTTATATCTGTGCCCACGGCCGTGGTTTGTCCTTGACCATGCACGCGTCCACCCGGCATGGTCAATGTCTCAGCGTCTTGTCGCGAGTCGTGAAAGGGAGACTTCAATGGGCACAGTATGCTGTGGGGAATTGCGTCCACGCTTTGCCCCGTGACTCCACTCATTGTCTCCGTTTTGCCACAACCGAAGCGCATTGTGGTCTGGCAGCGGTCAACGATTTCTCGTGGCCCCATCGCCACCGGGCCCCATGCACTACCCATTCGAGGTTTCCTTCATCTATTGTCAAATACAGAGCCGCTCGAGCGTGGATTCTGCAGTTAATTATGCAGCCAATAGAGTACAAGCAGAGTCCTCATTGCGGCGCATGGTCTTCGCCAGACATACACACATCCTGCCTCACCGCCGTCGCCTCTGAGCGTAACAGTGACCTGAATCTGTACTCCTCCGGAAGCTCCTTGTTCGCCCTCTCGATGAGCTTTCTGTCCAGCACGGTCGCGTGCTGCACCAGCTTATTGCGCAGCGCCTTCGCCGCGCGGCCAAGGCGCTCGCGTTTCTCTTCGTGCCGCCGTCGGAGCTGGCTCAACGAGGCGCCTTCTTGGGTTGGGTCGGCGGTGCAGGCTGCGAGCATGCGCTCGTGCTGGCGCACATCATTGATGGTGTCGCGGATGCGGGCAATGCATACTTGAGTTTCCTTGACCGCTTTCTTATTCATTTGGACCAGCAATGTTGTACTTCTTAAGCGGAGTGTGTGGATATCCTTTGTATTGTATTACCTGGGTCAAAGAGCGGGGAAGACGGAGAGAGTAGCGAATACGCACAGCGTGCAGAGTAACCGGAGACGATGCGGGGAGATGGGTAGCTCAGCCCAATGCGAACGCGGCTCGAAGACTTATGTACAAGCCGTGCATCGATGACCCAGCTTTATTGTTGCAAAGGAATGGTCGCCGTGGCGCGCTGGTTGAAATGTGGCACTGCAGTTCCTGTGGTCGAGTG